CTTAACAAACTCTCTCTCTCCTCTAACGTCCTAACGTTCTTTCCCTCTCATTTTATATTTCTGAATATGCTGTACAAATAGCCTGAGGCTATTGCTATAGAAGGCAAGGTTTTACAAATGAATGAAAGCAATAATTCATGGCTTTTATATGTGTTGATTCCTGAGCTGTGTTGATACTTTAACAACATCGAGTGGTTAGGAAAAAGATGAATGGGGTCGATAAGGGTTTGTAAATTTTAATCATTCTCATATATCTAGATCTTTCCTTGATGTTTAGGGTTTGTAAATCTTAACATTTTATGTTCAAGAATCATATGTGAACTATGTGTTAGTTTCAAGGGCGGAACTAGGATTAAATTATGGGAGAGATCAAGTTGTCCATCTAGCTCAGTTGGTAGAGCGCAAGGCTCTTAACCTTGTGGTCGTGGGATCGAGTCCCACTGAGGGCAATTCATAACGGAGGTCTTCCACGGAAGTTGCTCTCAACCTGGCATTGAGGGCAGCCTACTATCCTACCTCCCCCTTATCTCATTACATATGGGAATAGGGTCAGCTAATCAAGTTGTTTATCTTTGAAATTAATAAGGTCCTAAAAGATAATTAAATCATAAAAATAGAGGATTGGAGCTTAATTTCACTAGTTTCAAAACTACCATGTCCCGAAAAATAATTAAACCAAAAAAATAAGGGAAAAGACCTAATTTTATTCCAACTATGAACCAGAAAATTTTGGAAGTACCAGGACTAAATTTTAATGGTTTCAAAACTTTCAAAAACTTAAAATACAATTAAATCATAAAAGTTGGGGTGAGTCGAGGTTTCGCCCTTGGTTAGTTTTTTTTTCGACAATCAGTTGGTTTAGTTTTAAATTGGTATAGTTTCTGATTTTTAAAAGTGACGTAAAAACAAATTTTTAAAAGTATAGTACAAAAGTGCAATATAAAAGTTAATTGTTTGGGATTATTGTTAAAAAAGTGAGTTAAAAAATGACTATTATAAACATTATGTTGTAAATTAAAAATATAAAATATAAAATTATATTTACACTTATATATAAATCATATCAATTTAAATCATAATAAATTCAAAAAATTATTATTATTATTATTATTATTATTATTATTATATGAAATATATCAATTTAAACTATAAATAATATAAAAAAATAATTGTAATAAAAAATATATTTTATATAACTCATTATTAATATTTTAATATATAAATCATGAATTTTATTTATTTTTAAAAAATAAAATAAAATATTGAAAATAATAAATTATTGTTTTAAGTATATTAGTATTAAATAATTAAAATAAAATGTAAATATATAATTGAGTGAAGCCATGTATTAGTATGGTTAAAATTATAATTTACTTACAAACGCAAAGTTGAAAATGAAAAACTATAAATCCTAACTTTTGCAGTTTGTTTGAAATTATAGTTTCTACCGTAATTTTTTTTACTCATTTGATATTGATTTTACGGTCAAAACAAATTTTTTTACCTAAAAGTACGTTTGAGACATTAAATCTCTTAAACAATGTCAGAGATTCAAATCATGATGTTTATGAATAAATTAGATTAAAAAAATCGTCTTCAATTCTGCAATATCTAATCTAGAATAAACGATCAATGAACCAAATATTGATAATTAATTATAGTCAATATTCCTCATAATTGCATAAAATATTAGAATTTCAATGTTAAATCATATCGTTGAACTGAACATCAAGAAGTCCATAAAAATCATGGCAAAATCAATCGAATAGGTTAGGCGGGTAATAAATTTGACCCGTAAATCAATCCAATCATGACAAAATATTTTATTGGTACTCGTCATATTTACGTGACGAGTCCCAAGACACTGTAACAAATGTTATAGTTCTCAAAAATAAAATATTTGATGTTGTATTGTGTTAAATAACTATCCCACCTACTATATTAGGTCACTTTTTATTAAAAATCACCGAAACCGACAATGAGAGTCATCTACTCTAATAAATGATAAAGGGTGCAAATAGTTGCCCAACTATAAAATAATTCTTTTATTATTAAAAGTTACAAAATGATTTTTTAATTATAAGATATTATTTTATTAAGTCTATTTATTAATAAAAAAATATAAAATGGTCACCAGACTATTAATAATTTTTTAAACTTGTCCCCTTTTGTTAAACATCGTCTGAGCTGAACGTTAATCTATTAAGTGAGAGGTGATAAAATCTGATCCAAAAAACATTTGAGTTGTATAATCGTTTGAGATTTTGATATTAGATTTTATTATATATCAACCAACATGTTAATGTCGATCTTAAATTGTAGTCAATTTTTAAATAAAATAGGACAAGTTTAGAACATGTCAATATTCGAATGATCATTTTGTAACTTTTAATAGTCAGGGACTAGGAAAAGCAGTACCCTACAATTGGTGAATCACTTTGTAGTTTTTAATAATTGAGGGACTCAAAAAAGAGACACCATATAGTAGGGGGCCATTTGTGTACTTTACCCAAGGATAAATCACACCTTCTGGTTTAGTTTTGGCGATAAACCCTCTCCTCGTCTCTCCCGCCTGCCATCCCTTATCCTTTCAATTCTCCCTTCTCTCTCCGATTCTTCACTCAAAAATGTCTTCTTTAACAAGATCCATTCCCATGGCAGACTGTTGTTTCCTCGTTTCTCTCCCTTCGCTCTTCACCTCACGCTCCAAACGCTCAACTCTCCTCTCCTTTCCCCCAAAACCCATAAATTTTTTCCTCTCATCTTCCCGTTCTTCATCCTCTTCGACCCTCAAATCCAAAACCCATTTCCCATCTCTAGTTCCCTTCGTCGCCCAGGCTTCAGACTGGGCCCAGAAAGGGGAAGAAAATGACCCCACCATTGCCATTGGTGAAGAAGAGGAACCCAAATGGGAAAACGATGAAAGCGATGGGCCTGAAGCAAGCTGGGGAGCTGAAGAACAAAGTGTTGATTCAGAAGAAGAGGTTTCTGAACCTCCTGAGGAAGCTAAATTGTTCGTTGGGAATTTGCCCTTTGATGTTGATAGTCAGAGTTTAGCTATGCTCTTTGAGAAAGCCGGAACCGTTGAAATTGCTGAGGTCTCTAAGAGAAATTTTCATTTTCCCTGATTTTAAACTACTTGAAAATTCTTCTTTTAAACTGTCGTTGATGATTTTGTTTCCTTCTGGTTGCAGGTTATTTACAATAGAGAAACTGAGCAAAGCCGTGGATTCGGGTTCGTATCGATGAGTTCAATCAAGGAAGCCGAGAAGGCTGTTGATCTATTTAATCGTTATGTAAGTTGTCTTCTTCATATCAATGAACATTGAATGCTTTGTCCATGCAAGAGGAATTCTCTTTGGGAGTAAACATAACCTGTGTTTCGAATAGCTTATGTTACTTGGATTCGGATTCAAATGTCGGTTACTATTATGTATTTGACATGATTATGTTGAATTTTTATAAGCTATGCTAGTGGGAGATTGCTACATTTGCTTTATGCTGATAATTTCGGTTAAGTACGAGACCTACTCGTTGTACTTGGAAAGCTAAAAATTAAACCTCTTACTTTCTCAATTCGAAATTTCTAATTAGTATCATTGATACCGAAAATTTCGAACTTGGCATGCTTATTTTCTGTTAATCATATGTCACATTGGCAAATTTTGAAAGATAATATTAGCAAAGCTAATGGTTGGATTAGGATTTAAAATCAAAGAAGCAAGAGGACTTAATTTTCAATCTTTTAAGCATATAGGACTAAATCTCAAACTTTGTCGAATTACCGGGACTGACAGCTTATTTTGGTAAACTTTGACCTTCTGGTGAATTTTCATTAGGTTGCTAAACAATATATTTCTTGAAGTTTTCGTTTTCTCTTTCCTGTAATCCCTTGGTCTCAAATTTACTATACATTAAAAGTGTGATAGATGAATAGAATAGTTGCAGATGGGGAATGGCAGCAAGACCGTTTTATCGACAAAAAGTTGACGAAAACTTTTTGTTTGTTGTGGATTTTACTTTTTTTTAGATGCATTTGTTGTTGTGTACCAAAGATTCTTTTGAAAATTTTGCATTTATTAGTTTGATTTGGGAGCCATTAATAGATGCTTGCAAGAGCCAAGTTAAATTTGGGTCGAATTCCGGATATCCTAGATGTCACTTAGATTTAATTGCATAACCCGAGTTAGGCTTCAAGTTGTCTTTCACTTTCTTTTTATGTCCGGAAAGTTTTGAGAGACTTGATATGTATTGATCTCCGAGTGTTCTTTCCGATTTTCTTTGCTTTGTCGACTAATGTTAACTATGAAGCTTTTGGTGCTCGTACTTGGTCATTGTTGCTTTTGTGTTTTTAAACAGGATCTCAATGGAAGGCTCTTGACTGTTAATAAGTCTGCTCCTAGAGGATCACGTTTAGACCGACCCCCTCGTGTTTTCGAAACTGCTTTTAGACTCTATGTTGGTAACCTTCCATGGGATGTTGATAATGCTCGACTGGAGCAGGTATTCAGTGAACATGGTAAGGTAATCGAGGCTCGTGTAGTGTATGACAGGGAGAGTGGCCGATCACGTGGTTTCGGTTTTGTCACTATGTCCTCAGAGACCGAATTGAATGATGCCATCGCTGCTCTCGACGGACAGGTATTATTTCAAATGAAATCTAATATCCGTATCTATCCGAAATTTACACCCGAGCTCGAGTAACGTCTCGTATTATTATTGCAGAGCCTGGATGGAAGAGCCATAAGAGTGAATGTAGCAGAGGAAAGACCAAGGCGAGGCTTCTTTTGATCTTCAGATGATGATTTTAGTTTTAGCTTTTGCCATTCATTTCAAAAGATTTGCTTGGATGAGTCTATTTATGCACCTTTTGCCCTTGAGAAAAACTATTTTTGTTATAATTTTGTTTAATTTTGATCACCGAAATTTGAAAATGTTAACGTTTCAACCAAATAATACAGATTTTTTATAATCAAAATTGAACAAAATTGAAACTAGAGTGACCAATAAGGAAATTTATCCAAAAATAAGGGAACATTTACACAAGATCTGCAATTCGAGAAATGCAATGTTTGATCATTATATTCTGTACAATAAGGTAATCAATATCCAATGACTTTCAAACAAGCTGCATAAGAGATGAACGTTTCCGATCTCAATAACCCCTCAACTGAGCATCGCGACTGGTTAACGGAACATACCGGACCGATGTCTCAGTTCGGATACTAATCGAACCATCCAGATCTTTATCCACCACTTTCAAGTCTTGGAACATGTTTCCTACAGGAATTACCATTCGACCACCCGGCTTCAGTTGATCAAGGAGAGGCTGAGGTATTTCCGGTGCTGCTGCCCCGACATGTATGGCATCATACGGTGCACATTCTGGCCAGCCTTGTCTTCCATCTATAATAAAATGTACGTGGCCAAAGCATCAGTCATAAGCATTCAACAAAACAGGCAGCGAGCTATTGTGATAAAACCGAAAGCATATAGCAAGTAATGAGTACATACCGCCGGTATGGAGTGAAAGAGAACCTTCTTTCAACAATGGAGCTGCAACACTTTTTTCGATATTTTGTATGGAAGAAGCAACCAATTCGGGAATATGTTCCACACCGACAGCACGACCGTGTGGTCCAACCATTATTGCAAAGCAAGCAGTCAAGTATCCAGTTCCTATAGTACAGATGCAAGACCAAAATAAAAACCTGTCTTTCAAAAATTAGGAGGAAAAAAGAATGGACTGCTGATCGATTTACTGAACTCTTCTGGAATGCTGGAACTAGATGATGCCATCGAGTCTAGCAACTCGACCCCTTTCTTGATGGCCATTGACAGAGTGAGATTTACCCAGAGAGAGTAAATGCAGCACATTTAGCATTCCAGCATTCCATCCGAGTTATACATAAGAAAGAAACTGAAGATGTTCGGAAAATACATGATTGTATCGAAAAAAATTGTGGAATGCAAAGAGACCTGAGCCAACATCTAAAGCGTGCATGCCGGGCTGCAAATTTTCCTCCAATAATTGAAGACAGGTAGCATGCATATGAGGTGCGGAAATGGTGGCATTGTAACCTATTGGCATCGGACTATCAACATAAGCCAATGTTCCATCTGGTACAAATACCGCCCTATCGATAGTCTCCATCACTTCAGCAACCTTCATCGATGAAATCACTCCATAACGCTGCAAATGCTCGACCATTTGTTTGTTCTTGTTGATCCCACTTCCACTCCAAAAGCGCTACAAACAATCCGACAGAAAAAATCAAGCACAAAATCACTATCGAATCCAACGAAACAACACCGAACAACATAAGGGTCTCTCAAATTCTCAAGGTAAGTCCAAAACAAAAACTAAGCAGCCTCCGACATAGAAGCTGGGCAGTCACAGGCTGAGTTCATCTATCCAAAGTCCAAAATCTCCATATATTTTTAATTATTTTCTTTGTATTTTCTATTGATGATCATGAAATTTTACAATTTAGACCCTAAATTTCTAATATAACCTCTTAAATTCGCACATAAACATTCCGTCCCTTGCTTGAAATCCTAACCTTCTTGAAAGACCAGCACAACAAAGATCAAATTGCACAATATGTTGATTCACTCCCCATATTATGAGTACCCCACAGTATACAAGCAGGTTTTCCTTATAATTCAAGCTTTTACCATAAAATTTCACTAAAAGACCAGCACAACAAAGATCAAATTGCACAATATGTTGATTCACTCCCCATATTATGAGTACCCCACAGTATACAAGCAGGTTTTCCTTATAATTCAAGCTTTTACCATAAAAATTTCACTAAAAGACCAGCACAACAAAGATCAAATTGCACAATATGTTGATTCACTCCCCATATTATGAGTACCCCACAGTATACAAGCAAGTTTTCCTTATAATTCAAGCTTTTACCATAAAAATTTCACTAAAACAACAACAAATTCATCATTTCTGGAGAACCCAAAACCAAAGATCAAGTAAGGAAACAAACATGATCAAAGAGAAGAAAAGAAACCCAGAAAGAAAACATGAAAAAAAGGGGTACCTCCATCCTGAAGAAGAGACAGTTACCCGTGAGGAGAAGGCTGAAGTTAGGGAGCTTGAGATTGTTAAAGGAGAGAGGGCGAGGTTGAAGATGGTGATGGTGATGACGAGGATTGAGGAAGGTAGTGTAGCTTAAGAGTTGCTTTATTGGTGGCGTACAATAGCGGCATCCATACGCTATTACTGTGGATAGATTCATCATTTTTTTGGATTTTCTTTTTTCTTTATTCCATTTTCAATGACTTTCTCGCCCTTTCTCTCACTTTCGTCCATTAATAAATACACTTGTCGTCTCCACCTCTGCTCTCTTGGTCATGACTGTTGCCCACCGAATCAGCTCATCTTTTCTGCATGGATGCCATAACTTTTGGGCCTCAATTCTATTTTAGCCCAAAGTTTAGGGTAATCTTGTTAAGTAATTATGGACCGACACGAGACCCGGATTTAATAAATTTTGATTTAATTTGATTTTATAAGATTAAATTTTATTAAAAAAAATAAATTTAAATTAAATAAAATCTCTTTAAATTTAAATCGAAGTTAGCAAGCTAAAATCCTGATCAGACCGACTTATGCACATCTATAATATTATAAAAGATAAGACATCAAATCACAACCATATGAACTTAAATGTCGATTCGGATATATTTTTTTTCTATAAATTTGGGATAAATATAATGTAATATCTGTTTAAATATTTTTAATCATCTAATAATAAACTTTTATAGTATTACACATGTAATGCTTATACCTACTTTAAAAAAATAATTATTATTTAATTATTAAAATCGATTGATTCGTGTTACTTAAGATATCTTAATACAATTTACTTATAATGTATCTATGTAATATGAATTACAATTGACACATTAATAAATGGTTTGATTATATAACTAATTTCCAAAAGTATTACGTTTTTCATGAATATGTGTTTAAATTATTTTTTGAATGATTTTTGTGCCTGATATAACAAACGTTATCATTTTAGGTGTCTGGATTGTTAATGGTATTAATTACCTTCGTTAAAAGGCACGTGTCACAACCTATTAATTTTAAAAGTTTTATTTAAAATTTTAAAAAATAAAATTATATTTAAAAGACACAAAAATATTGAAATAACCTCAAAACTTTAAAAAAAAATCATTTTAACCCCTAAACCCAAGCCAACTACATCTCTTTTCTGTCGACGAAGCTTCACATGACATTACCTCCCCCGACAACCAAAATCCCTATGAAATCGTGATCGCTTGACGACCGGTCAACGATGAATTAACATTTTATACCCTGCGAACCCTATGATGAAAATCGTGATCCCATGCGATTTTGGCAGTTAATTGGCTACAACTACGGCGACGTATGACTAGGAGGATAGAAGGGACTACGTCAAAGGTGTTGATTGTGGACGAAAAGGTAAATGAAAATGGATTAGGGTTAATATTTAGGTATTTTAAAGATTTTACGATTTTTTTGTAATTTAAGAAAAAAATACCGTTTTTTAAAATAAGTAATATATTTAATATCTTTTAAAAAATAAATTTTAAAATTATCATATTGTGATGCATTAACGGAATAAATTAACATAATTAACGATAAAGTAATAACGTTTGTATTGTTATGCATTAAAATCATTCATAAAACAAATTAAATTTATATTCGTGATAAGCGCAATAATTTGTACACTTATTTTATATTTAATTCATAATAAATTAGATACGAATGTTAGGTAATGATTTTTTTAGTAAACGGCATCGTTTTAAGAACAGGTTTGAGTCTCACTAAACCTTGGAAACCCATAAAGTCTGAAGCGCCTTCCTCCTCAAAACCCTTTTTCACCACCGCATCGAACCAGCCATCAATAAAGCTAACTTATGCATCCCTATCCCCAATTTTTTCCAGTTTAAAGCTCAATTCTTTCACCATTATTCTTCACGAAAATGGCGAATCTTATGCATAAACTCTTCAAGAACAAATCCACTCAAAGGCTCATCGTCTCTTTGAAATCCCAACAACTCCCTACAGTCAGTCCTTCACTTATTCCCCACCATGTTTCATTAACCAAACCAGATTCCTTCAACGACCCAAGTTTTTTCCTCAATCCCAAACCCATAAAAGATGGTATTTTTACTCAACCTTTGAAGTTTTACCCCAATTTCCCATTTGGGTATTTGTTGAATCCCATTGGCTCAATTGGGTTTGATCCATTCATGGCAATGGAGATCGAGGAGGGGACAATGGAGACCGAAGATGATGCCGGAAAACTTTGGGCTGATAGTGTGAAGAAGAAGAGGAAGAAGAAGATGAACAAGCACAAGTACAAGAAGCTGAGGAAGCGTCTGAGAAGAAAGACATAGGCTTTCTCTATGATGGGGATGTTGTATTATTCTCCTTTGATTTTTTTGAAAGATTTTGGAATTAGTTGATGGACAAATCTTGAATTGATGAATTTGATGTCTTTTGGCAATAATTAGCTGGATTAAAAACACACAATTAACATGAGCTTTGCTTATTTTCTTGTGTTGGGAGTTTACTTGATTGTCTAAATTGTCAACTTTTGAATGAAATGAGTGTTGTTATGGTAAAGATGTTTAGATATTCACTGGGAAAGTGCAAGAAGATTATACAAGGCAAATCATTCTCAAATGTTGTTTTCTGATGCTTTTAGTAATCTGAGGGTCTTGAGTTGATTTCGATTATTTACACGTTTCTCACTCACTTTAATTTACATATATTCATTGTGACAATGATATTCTGTTGTCGATTATCGATTTTTGAATGAAATGAGTGATTCTTTGGTAAGGATGGTTTGGTTTTTCACTAGGAAAGAAAAAGAAGAGTATATTAGGCAAAATGATTCTCATTTATTATTGTTTTCTCGAGTGTCTTGAGCTATGTCCATTCATGATATGGATCTCACTCACTTTGGTGTTCATACATTCTGTATGACACTGATATTCTGTTGTTGAATCATGACTTTTGGATGAAATGTCTGGTGTTATGGAAAGGATGATTAGTTCCCTAGGAACGAGCAAGAAGTTCATATAAGGCAAAATCATTCTCAGATGTTAGTGTTTTCTGATACTTTTTTCATAATTTGAGGGGCTCGAGTTGATGTCATTTGTTTATACGAATCTCTCTTGCTTTGATTCGCATATATTCATTGTGACAATGATATTTCTGTTGTCAATTATCGAATTTTGAATGAAACGAGGGTTGCTTTGGTAAGGATGTTTAGATGTTCACCGGAAAAGAGTAAGAAGGGTGTATGAGGCAAAATGATTCTCATTTATTGTTGTTTTCTCCACAGTTGAGCTGATGTCCATTCATGATTCAGATCTCTCTCTTTGGTTTTCATACATTCTGCATGACACTGATATTCTGTTGTTGAATCATTGACTTTTGAATGAAATGTCTTGTGCTATGGAAAGGATGTTTAGTTGTTCACTAGGAAAGAGCAAGAAGTTTATATTATAGGCAAAATCATTCTCAAATGTTGGTGTTTTCTGATATCTTTTTTTCATATTTTGAGGGGCTTGAGTTGATGTCGATTGTTTATACAAATCTGAGTTGCTTTGATCTGCTTGTGTTCTTTGTGACACTGATAATTGTCAAATTATCAACTTCCGAATGAACCGGATGTCGATGTGGTACAGATGTTTAGATGTTCACAGGAAAAGAGCCAGAAGTTGATATCTGGCAAAGTCGATCTCAACTATTGTTGCTTTCTGATATTTTTCCTAGCATGATGGTCTCGAGTTGTTGTTCATTTGTAGTGTTGAATCTCAAACATTGTCTTTGGTTCAGTTTGTATATCTGCACAATCATCATCTCAAATGTCGTCTAGGATGTTCCGAATGTACTTTGAATCACTGATATCCCGTTGTGTTGCTATGACATGGATGTCCAGACATTCACGAGGAAACAGCAACCAGAGTATACGAGGCAAAACTTTTCTCGAATGTTGTTGTTGTCTGATATATTTCGTAATGCAAGGCTCTCGAGTAGAGGTCCACTCTTCGTACCCGATCTCAATCGCGTCGGTTTACATGTATTCTTTGTTCCACTGATATTCTGTAGTCAAGTTTTCAACTTTTGAATGAAGTGTTGCTATGGCAAGGATGTTTAGGCATTCACTGGGAAGGTGCAAGGAGAATCATCAGGCAGAATCGTTCTCAAATGTGGCTTTTTGATATTTTTCGTAGTATGAAGCCCTTGAGTTGATCACTCATAGTTGTTTTAGAATTTGTAAGTCAACGGTGTGGATTATGGTTGAATAAAACTCTATTCAATTCGAAAAAAACTATTTTTTTTTTGTAATTTTGAGTTATTAAGTTAAGTCGAACTAGTGAGTCGGTTTTCGAGTTCAACTCGAGGCCAGATTTTATCAATTCGAAAAACTGAGTTTTGTTTTCGAGTTCAACTCGAGGTCAGATTTTACCAATTCGAAAAACTGAATTTCAAAATGATGTAGTTTTGATCTTTAGTTGAGTACTTTAATTGTTTTATGATTTAGTCCCGAATTTCTTTATTTCTTCAATTTCTCTCTTATTTTAAATCAATTTTAATCAATTATGTATTTCTATTTCCTTTTATGAAAATATTTTTTTAATTTAATCCTTCAATTTTGTATGATTTTTTGTTTCAAGTCCATTTTTATTAGAATTGAACTGTACTCTCCTTTAAGTATAAAATAGCTATGTATTTTAACTTAAATTACTAACTTTAACAACTAAGTTCTTAGTTTTTTCAATTTGGTCCTCCGACTGTAATTTTTTTTTTTTGCAAATTGTTCATTCCTATCAATTTCATGATTTCTTTATAATCTCATCGATGCTTTATCCTCAAAATCTCTTTCTAAAAAATAACATTATAAATATATTTTATAATTTTAAATGATATTTAATTTATTAACATTACAAAAAAATTACACATGTAAAAAAGAATATAATGAAACATATATGTATATCTTATATTATTAGAAAATTTTGTTCAAATTAAAATAAATTTATATTATATTATTATAAATAATTATAATTAAATTTAAATGTATACTTAGAAAGGTTATCTTGTTAACTTGAAATTTATAAAATTCGATTCGAAAAGCTTTTATATAAAATCTAAATAACATAAGACTCATTAGCTCGACTAACTTGATTCGATCATGTTCTCGGCCCAGTATAGGTTGTAGAATATTTGTTGAAACATTGATTGTGCCATGCAATACTGTTATGGACACTGGGATTTGAGAAA